TATTATTAGTCAAGACTTAGCCTCTACTTCCCTAACATCTTGCCCTCAACTCTATACCAGAAATTGCCTGTTTAGCAAGCACAAAGGGAGTGGGGAGGATGTGAACTTGTCCATAGTGGCAGTGGTGTCTCCTTGGCAACCAGTCAATGTTGGTATGAATCTGCTTCACACTGGTTAGTTCATAGCAACTTCCAACTCCTGGGCTTAGGCAATTCTCTTGCCTTAGCCTCCCAAGTAGCTGGGACTACAGGCACCCACTACAAGGCCCAGCTATTTTTTGTTGTAGTTGTCGTTGTTTAGCTGGCCTGGGCTGGGTTCGAATCTGCCAGCCCTGGTCTATGTGGACAGTGTCCTAACCACTGAACTACAGGCATCAAGCCCCTCATGCCCCTTTTTATTCATTCCCCTTTCCAAATACCTTGTTCTGGGCAACAAGTAATTTCTGTTGTAATTTTACTTTTTCCAGAATGCCATATAAATGGGATCACAGGTTTTAGCCTTTTACATTTGACTTTTTCCCACTCAGTATAAGGTCTTGTCATCTACCATGTTGGTGTATTTGTCAGTAGTATGTTCTTTTTTCTTGCTGAGTGATAATTCCTTTATGTGGATGCTTCATAATTTGTTTATTACCCAGCAGATTGACATTTAGGTTGGTTTTAGCTAAAGTAAAGCCACTATAAATATATGCAAATAGGTCTTCTTGTTCGTTAATTTGTTTTGGTTAAAAGTACCTAGGAGTGGTTGGGCATGGTGGCTTATGCCTATAATCCTAGCACTCTGGGATGCTGAGGCAGGTAGATTGCCTGAGCTCCAGAGTTCAGATGAGCCTGAGCAAGAGTGAGTCCCCATCTCTACTAAAATAGAAAAATTAGCTGGGCATTGGAGTAGGCACCTGTAGTCTCAGCTACTAGGGAGGCTAAGACAAGAGGAATGTCTGAGCCCAAGAGATTGAGGTTGCATAGCTCATCATGGTGAGCAATGGTGATGCCAGGGCACCTTAGCCAAGGCAACAGAGTGAGGCTCTGTCTCTAAAAAAAAGAAAGAAAGAAAGAAAGAAATACTTAGGAGTGGGACCTCTTTTGGGGGGACCTCATTAACTACTTTATTACTTTATAAAGGAATTATTCTTCCTGCTTATACAGAAATCATACATTTTTGGCAACATTATAAATAAAAGTGTGCTTCTGGGAAATGTTTCCTTACTGGGGAGAATATTTAGTTTCTTAGAAATAAAGTACTGGGCTCGGCGCCTGTGGCTCAAGTGGCTAAGGTGCCAGCCGCATACACCTGAGGCGGCGGGTTCGAATCCAGCCTGGATCCGCCAAACAACGATGGGTGCAACCAAGAAATGGCCGAGCATTGTGGTGGGCGCCTGTGGTCCCAGCTACTTGGGAGGCAGAGGCAGGAGACTCGCTTGAGCCCAGGAGTTGGAGGTTGCTGTGAGCTGTGAAGCC